TTTACAGCCTCTGAAACCCAAGGAAGGGTCAACTATTAGTCTGTTCTGACTCAACACCAATGAGGTTTTGAAATATTAACTGGGCGAGGCTGTCCATCTTTCTCCCACATAGACCTTCATGGATTCAAACTGTCCACCTTTCAAAATAGGTGTGTCTTGGAGAGGGTGAAACCAAATCTCTCCTTGGAGGCTAGGATTCTGAGCAAGCTTTGCCTCACATACTTTGAGCATGTGGCCAGGAGGGACCAGTCTGTGGAGAAGGACATCATACTCAGAGGGTGGAGGGACAGTGCAGGAGAGGAACACCATGGATAAGATGGATTGATACAGTAACTGGGCAATAAGGGTAGGTGTGTTGGAATCAGTGAGACTGGCTCAGGACAGGGCAGGCTTTAGAGCTGCTGTCCATAGGGTCACTATGGTCGCAGGCAACTTGATAGCACATAACAATAACAACAACTTTGTCTGATAGCAATGCATAAAAAAGTTTCTCCTCTCTGTATTTACTAAGACCTACAAATTGAAAGGAAGGTCTTCCATGTCTTGCTCTTTTCTTGATGATTTTTACATCTAAATGAAAAGGTATGTGAATAAATTTTGTTCTTTTTTGCGACTAGTTGCTACCAAATCTCTTTCAATAGATCAGATCTACCCTGTTGGTAATGACACTCTCTGGTGGTTTCATGACAAGGGGTTGTGCTTCCAAACCAAAGACATTAGGTTGAAATCCACCAGCTGCTCTGTGGGAAAATGATGGGCAATCTACTGCCATGCAATTAACTGCCCTTGAGAACCCTCCAGAGGCTCTGATTCCAACATACATAACAACCCTGCTGGTAAAAAGCTGCACTGCCAACGGAAAGGCACACGATTCGGATCCAACAGCTCTCCCACAGAGGGAGAAAGATGAGCAAGCTCCTCTCATATGATTCAACTGCCTCTGAAAACCCTCTAGAGGTCAGTTAAGAGATAATTCCAATTTCACAGAGCATAACAACAAGGCTGTGGTCTTTATGAAAGCAGATTGCATCCCTCTCATGGTGCTGTTTCTGGGTTGTGTTTTGTATCATAGAATTACAACCGACCGATAGCTGACCCCTCTGGACTACCAGGAGAACAAACAGGTTTGTCTCAGAGAGGGTGAAACCAGGCTGCTCCTTGAAGGCAAGAATTCTGAGGTTCCTCTGACATACTTTGGGCAAGTTACAAGGAGGGACCAGTCCTTGGAGAGGAACATCATGCTTGGAAGGGTGAAGGGGCAGAGAAAAAGAAAAGACCATTGATGAGATGGACTGGTTCAGTGACTGGGGTAATGAGCATGGGTGTTTCAGAGACAGTAAAATTGGCACAGGATAGAGCAGTTTTCAGGGTTATTGTGCATAGGGTTGCTATGAGTTCCAAGGGACCCGATGTCATACAACAACAACAACAAATAGTTGCTTGGGAGAAGATTGCCCATCCTTCTGCAGAGCAGCTGGTGGCCTCTGACCACGTGCCTTCGGGATTGCAGCACAAATTCTTGCCACTAGGCCACCAGAGCTGCAGCGGTGCTGCTGGATGGGTCTAAACTATTACCCTTATTCTTGGTTAAGTTAGTAGCTGAGTGCTCAACCATGGTGACAACACAGCTCCTTAAGCAAATTTTATATCTCAGGCTATTCTGTGAAACTATATAGTCAGTTTTATTAAAGTGTTTATAATTAATAGTATACTTCTTATTTGATAAATGATATAGAAAGGCTTCAGGCCTTCTGCTCATAGAGTTGCTATGAGTCGTGCTCGACTCAATGGCAATCAACAACAACAATATATTTCATAAACAAAATAGCAAACTGTCAATAAAAATGGAGGGGTATTTGTGACATGAGAGGCCTAGTGGTAAGAATCTGTGCTGTAATCCCAAAGGCTCACAGTTCAAATCTTGCAGGTGCTCTGCGGGAGAAGGGTAAGCAGTTTTCTCTCGTGCCATTACTGCCTCTGAAATCCTGCCAGAGTGTGAGCTATGGGTTGGTTTCTGAGTCGATGGCACACAACAGCTACAACTTGTGGCATATGGGCAGAAGGCGAGGAAACAACACATAAATCTCCCTCCTCTGACCAAATGTATTCCTCAGTATTCGGAGAGTCCTTGAATTTTAAGAAAGTATATACTCAAAATCAGACTCTGCAGTTTCAGATAATGTTGAGTTTCATAATAATTTTTTAAATTTATTTTCTAATCCAAATCATGGAAGAAAACATTGAATCAATCATGATGTAGATGATGAAAATGGATAAAACTTCAGTGAGAATAAACTCTCACAAATTAACGAACAAAAACCCCAAGAGTGAGAAAAAAAGTTGAGTAATTTGAAAAATAGCAAGAAAAAAAAATATAGCAATTTTCTCAAACCCCAAATGCAACATCAAAAGCACACTTAATCCATTCCAGTAACAAAGCTCTTAGAATTTCTGGCCCAACTCTACAGTTTTATGTGTATTATAAATCCTCAAAAAACCAAATTTCTTTATAGATTTCTCTGCACATAGACTATTTGTGTTGTTGAAAAGAGATATTTGGTTATACTTTTTCTCTACAAGGGAGTGCTGGTGGTCTAGCAGGTAGGGAGTTGTGTTGCCATCCCAAGGGTACACCAGCTGGTCCATGGGAGAAAGATGGACAATCATCTCCTATGCAAGTAACAGACTTGGAAAACTTTCTGTTGTGTTAGCTCTGAGTCGGTTCCTACTTGATGGAAATGAATTGAGTTTGTCTCTACCAACATATACAAGTCAGTTGAGTTGATTCTGACTCATGGTGACCCTATGCGTGTCAGAGTAAAACTCACTGAATGAGAATGAATGGGGTTGTCAATGTCTTGATCTTTTGATAGTAGATAACCAGCTTTTTTTTTTTTCTTTTTTCTTCTTTCTGAGGCCTTTCTGGGTGGTTTTGAACTACCAGTTTATCAGTTGAGAGCTAAACTGTTTGCTTTACCCAGGAATTCCACGAATTTATAATTTTATGAAAATGTTGTGCTCTAACATCTTGTAAATCATACAGCAGATTCAGACTCCAAGTTATCAGGGAACTGTAGTTTTTGGCATGTACCATAAATAGCTGACTCTTAAGTCCGTTTTCAGAGGCAGTAAATCACATGGGTGGTGACTGCTTATTTTTCTTCTGCAGAGTGGCTGGTGTGGTTTGAACTGCAGGCCTTTGTGTGGACCACTAAGTCTCCAGAGCTCCATTAGGGAGCTTCTTCTTGTTGTGGGCCATACAGTTGGAACCAACTCGTAGTTGACTCTCCAAACAGTTTTCAGAGGCAGTAAATTGCATGGGAGGATACTGGCCATCTTTGTCCTATGGAGTAGCTGGTGTATTTGAACTGTGCCCCTTTGGCATACATAGAAAGAGCTACGTTGGCCTAGTGGGCAGAAAGTTATGCTACCAAGCCCAAGACCAAGGTGGGTGATTTTAATCTGCAGCCCTCAGGCCAGGTTCAAATTTTTTTTGGTCAAATATTCTTCTAGGTGGTATAGCACTGGTCTGTACATTGCTGTAGAGAGGTAACTCATGGTTGCTGTGATGCTAAACACTATGACACTGACATGTCAAATGTGATAATGGTTACCCATGGTGGATAGTGTTTGGTGGAGCTCCCCGATTCAAACAAGCTTGGAAGCAGGAGTGGCATCCACTTCTGAAATGGCTTGCCTCCGGAAACTCTATGAACAATGCTCAGGTCTTCCGTTCATGGGGTCGTTATGAGTTGCCTACGACTCGATGTCACTCAACAACAACAACAACAACAACAACAACAACAACTACCACCTCTGGCATGGTAGTGCAGCTACTATTAGGCCACCAGAGCTCATCAGGAAACTAATAGACTCCAATTTTATGCCAAGACTTAGTGTAGACAAAATATGTAATTTTATTTCCACAGTCTGGAAAGCGGCTCTAGTGTTTGATGTGGTAACTAACACAGTCAGTGGGGGCGACATTCTCTAGTTTTAACTCATGACAAGAAGGAACAAGATCAATTCCAGTGGTTTTCTAAGGACATTACTCAAAATCCCCTAAATGTAGATTCTAATAGTCTCTCCCACTCTGCTTTTAAAGACTCAGCACTGAGATTTGAGAACTGCAGGAACTGACTGCAGTAATCTGTCCTGCAATCATCCACAGCCATGTCCCCAAAGAAGGAACAGTGCAGGGTCACGGCTCCTACTGGATGTCGAAGCAGACCCACACAGAGCAAAAACAGGAAAAGGATGTACTTTTCTGCCCTTTTGGTAAGAAATTAATGACACTGGTGGTTTTGCTCAAGGGAAGAGTACAAAAGAAGGTCGTCTTCAAGAGGACATGCTATGAAATGTGTAGTATGCTTGCTTTGCTCCACAAGGAGTCATAAATACAAGAGGCGTCTGGGGCAGAGGCTCGGTTGGGCCCTGTGCTTCTGGACAGCATAGCACTCTGACGAGGTCAAACGGTGAGGTAATTAAGAGGAATCCTAGGGTAAGATGACCCTCCTCATGCTTGTAGTGTAGTAAAAGTTTATTGTTCAGGGCACATAAATGCGAAATGCCTGAGCGTTAATTCTGCTTACATTTCAGGGTTGCTTTCGCCGAGACACATTTCTACTCTGGGAGTCTCCTGTAAGAAGTTTTGGGTCTGTGGAAATATGCAGCCCATTTTTCTTTTCTATTGCAATTTTAGGGGACACTTTTTCATCATTCAAAGCGACAGCTTCTGAGGTAAAAAGATTATACTTAAGAAAATCTTAAATCCCTGAGCTTGACTTTCTTATATAAATACAGCTTAATGGTTTACGAATAAAGAAGTTGATGTGAAAAGCAGCGTACAGACCCCAGGAAAAAAAAAAAGATATTTTCTTTATGAGGGTTTCACATTTCCAGGGAAATGCAAAACATTGTTCTACTTATGGCTTTAAAATAGAAACAGAGAACTATTGAAGGGCAAAAGATACATTACTTAATAAAAAAAAAAATCTTACCAGGTTCTGCTGTAGATCTGGGTTCTGTTTGCCACATGAAAAAAAATAAATCAAAATACAGCTTTAGAATAGGGTTACATGAAAAATACATCCAACTAATGTTTTTTATTACAGAAATGTTACAAACACCATAGTACAAAGGAACTAAGGTGGAAGTTAAGAACAAACAACGAAACAAAAAAGCAGTTGCTCCTTTGAGTTGAGTTGATTTCCACTAATAGTGACCCCAGGGAGCAAAGGAGAACTCCACTCTAGAATTTTCAAAGTTTTCCCCTTTTAGAAGCAGAGCAACAGGCCTTTTAGAAACTCGCATTCTGGTATTACCATAAACAAAGCTGTTTTTTAAAATGGCAGCATGGATGAAGTTTATAAGTCTCTAAAAACTGTTTGCAAAACTTTTGAGTAGAAACACATATGTTCATTTTTCTGGAGAAAAACATGTCACTTTTATAGGACTTTCCAAGAGGTCTACAAGCTAGTGCCATTGTTAAAATTTACTGGGCCGCTTCTAGCTGTGGGTCATCTGGTCTCTCACTGCTCTTTGAAAATACAAATCAAGTCAGTTGTGTGCATGGCTTGGGCCTTGCTGATTCTCCCTAAGGCAGAATGAAATGGTGGGACTTGGAGGAGGGTGCTGCTCCTTACTTTTCTGTAGAATCCGGAAATCGGGAGAGTCTTGGATTTCACTGCCTTGTCGGAACCATTTGACCTGCAGAGGGAGAGCCCCTCGGACCCGGCACTCCAGAACCACCACCTGGCCTTCTGACGCTGCTATGTTTTGCAGTTCCTGAAATTCAAGTAAAACACTCCCCTTAAGTCTCTGGTGTATTCAGCATTTTTTACAAGACACAATAAAGTACAGTTTTAAGCCTTAAAGAGAAAATTTTGCATCAGACAATAATTGACACTGACTCAGAAAAGGCTCTCAACCACAGCTGCAGCAACTCCGACTCATGGAAATCCTCATCAGGTTTCTGAGGTGGCGAATCTTTTTTTTTTTTAAATTTTATTACTTTTCTGTGCGTGTACCGTCAAATCAGATCTGACTGGTACAGGAGGAGATTGTCCCTCCTTCCCCGGCAGAGCATCTGGTGGATTTGAACAGTGCGCCTCTGGGATTGTAGTTGCAGCTCCTTACCACTAGGCCACCAGAGCTCCCCTGAGGCTGTGAATCTTAATGGGAACAGACTACACCTCTTTCTCCCACAATGCAGCTAGTAGATTTGAACCACTGACCTTTTAGCTAGCAGTCCAGCACACAACACACTTTACATCCACTCACCTGATTTTAAAGAAATAGTCGTAATTGTGATGGTTGTTATTATTAGGCGACGTCAAGTCAAATATGACTCATAACAGCCCTATGAACAGCCAACTTGATCCTTGTCCTCCTCTGTGTCATACTTACCATCTCCTGAAACATTCAAGCCCATTGCTGAAGCCAACATGCCAGTATATTTCATTTGGGGTTTTCCTTTCCTTCACTGATGCTCTATCTTTCCAAGCATGATGTCTCTCTCCAATGTAAAGCTACACCTAGCTACATGTCTGAAATATGAAAGACAAAGCTTCTCCATCCTTGCCTCCAAGGACCACTCTGGCTGCACCCTCTCAAAAAAATATCTATTTGCTGTCTTGGAAGATAATCAGTACTTCTCTTAGGATATTCAGTACTCTTCTCCAACACTACATACAACTCAAAGGTATCCTCTGCTGCCATCCCTCTTCAGTGTCCAGCTCTCCAATTCATAGCAGGTGATTGAGAAGACCATGGCCTGAATTACTTGCATCTAAGTCTTCAAACTGACATCACTGCTCTTAAAGCATTCTGGAAAGGTCCTTGGCGGTGGACTTGTCCAATGCTATATGTCTTCTGATGTCCTGTTTGCTGGGATCAAGGGTGCTGATTATTTATACAAGGAAGATGAAATCATTAACAGCTTCATTCCTTTCTCCATTCATCATAATGTTGACTGTTAGTCCTGGGTGAGGAGCTTTGTTTTCTTGATACTGAGATGTTATCCATACCGAAGGCTGTAGTACTCCAACCCAAAATGAAGCTAACTCAGTTAGAGGGTGAAAACTTCTGAATACCAATCAAAAGTTGGAGTATAAGTAGCGTGCCTCCTTAACTGGGTTATAAAATGGAAAGACGAACAGGAAAGAAGTGGCATAATCTCCACATAATGAAATTAGAAAGGCACAGGGAAAGCTGGTGGTGTAGTCCATTAGGAGTTATGTGGCTAACCTAGAGATGGTGCCTCTCTGGAGGTCCAATCCACCGGTGGTTCTGTGGGAGAAAGATGGACACTCTCCTCCCGTGTAATTTACAATATCTGACAACCTGCTGGAGGGTCGGCTATGTGTTGCTTCTGATTTGATGGCTTTGGGCTGAGATGACTATACACTCTCTAGAAATATGTAGCTTGTGTGCAAATCTGCACTGGCCCTTTTACACTGAAGAAAATTCTACAGTAATAATTAGTACCACTTTTATTTACATTTAAAAGTAACTTGATATAATGCAAACTTCTTAAAACAATTATGTTCCAGCTTGATGTTGATTCTTATGAAAAGCTAGATTAGAAAAGAAAAAAAGACATGCACTTGTTTTCAAATTTCAACCTTCGCATGCACTCCCATGTCTCTTCTGCCCAGGTTTATTAAAGTGCTGGGTTTATTAAATGCAAGGGTTTTGGTATTTTCTCATTTTGAGGTTCTGAGTGAAATAATAAAGCACATACTGCATGCCTTCCCTTATTGACTTTCATTTCCTCCTTCCTTGCTCATTGCCTCCCCCTCATCAATTTGAGGTCAATAAACTTTTGTAATAAAGTATTTAAGCTTGTTACTAAACCTGGAATCACTAAAAAGAACTCTCTAATCCTCTATTTTTCTCCTCAGGATGAACTAGTGAAGGAGGTATTTACATTTTTTGACTGTTATACTTTTGACTACGGAGTATTGGATTTTATACAGGACATACAGAGCTCCTAAAAGAATTTAAAAATAGTCCACCTCTACTCAAACAAAAAAAAAAAAGGGATGTGGTTTTGTTTATTTTGAAAGTAAACAGTCAACATCTTTCTTTTGCTTGGATCCACAATTAACACCCTTGGTACCAGCAGTCAGGAAATAAGGAAACACACTGTACTTGGAAAATCTGCAGTTAGGGATCTCTCCAAATTATTGAGGAATAGTGATGTCAATTTGAGGACTAAGGTGTGTCTGATTCAGGTAATAGTCTTTAGGAGTACTTGCTATTCATCTGAGATCTGGACAATGAATAAGGATGATGGGAAAAGAATTGATGCCTTTGAGCTATAGTGTTGAAGGAGAGCACAGAACTTCCCTCCCATGTGTCCACAGGAAGCGCTGGCAGAGACCACAGCCTCTTCACGGTCAAGCTCCCAAACAGGTATGTCTTGGAGAGGGTGTAGCAAATCATTTTTGGTCGCAAAAATGATGAGGTTTTGCATCACATACTTTAGGCATATTGCTGGGAGGTGTTATTCTTTGGAGAAGTACCTGATGCTTGGAAGGGTAGAGGGTCAATGCGGGAGAGGAAGACCCCTGACCAGGTGGACTGACATGGCGACTAATTCAATGAGTTCTTGTGTGTCAGGAAGTGTGAGGATGGCACAAGATAGAATAGGGTTCAGAGCTTTTGTTCATAGGGTCTCTATATGAGTCGTACTTGACATCATGGCACCTAACAATAACAACAAAGGTATAAATGGTGTCCTTGGAAAAAACTAGATCCCCCAGCAATGGTCTGTAAATGAGTATCTAAAGCCCCGTTGATATCCCAGGGCTGTAATTGTGGTGAAATTTGAAAATGTGTTTGATAAAACTTTTAGTAACTAGCAAGAATGGTTATTTTTTGAGTGAAAAAGGTAAGATTGCGAAGTACTTATGACTGCAATTATATTCCTCTTTTTAATGTAGAAATGCTCTGTTTTCTTTTAAATTTTGTGACTGAGTCCAAAGAAGAGCTAATTTAGTGGATAAGTGTCACTCAAGGGGTCAAACTCCAATGGATTCATCTGTTAAATAACTCCAGGTTGTCCAGGAAGCCATTTATGGTAGATTACAAATGGTACACATTGCAAATCTTTTATAGGCTTGTTCTTGCAGGCACCACAAGAGACTTGATTTATTTTGTTCAATTTTGTTGGAAAGCCCGAGATGCAAGAAATCAGTAGTAGATTCTGAGGCACTGAAGAAGTAAGAATCCCACATTATTGTAGTTAGTCTAGGTTCACAGATTGGTTTCTTCCGTAAGTAGGTGGGTAATTCTCAGTCTATTCTACTCCTAGTGACCTTCTATTAGGTTTCTGAGGTTATAAACCTTTACAGAAAGATGTTGTTCATATATCTTCCGTAGAGTGTGATTAGTGGATTCAAACCTCCGATGGTAGCTTTGTAGTAAGGAGGTACACTGCCAACCCAAAGGAACATGGTTCAAATCTATCAGCTGCTGCATGGTAGAAAGGCAACCTCCTCCTAAGATATTTTCTGCTTCTGAAAACACACTGGAGGGTTAATTATGAAGCAGTCCTGATGTGATGGTATACAACAACAATAACGTTTTGGTTAAGAATACAACAGATAGTGAACTATGCCACCAAAGCTCCTTAAGGAAACAAAGCTGAGATCAATTTATGTCACAAGGAAATGGGCAGGATTATCTTCTAAAGTTAGAAAGTCCTCTGCAAAGCAGGGAGGAGAGATGCCAAAGGAAAAAGGCAAGAGTAGATGCAGAACACAGAGAGGTCTCCACAGTGGACTGCAGGGAGAGGTACTGGGGACATAGGTCACCATGAACGTGCTCTATGCTTCTCGTGAAGGCAGCTTAGAACTATTATACAAAGCTTTAGAAAACAATGCACAGCTTTATTTTACTTTTCTTTTTTAAAAAGCTCTGTCATTAACATACAAAGGAGAAAGATGGGCAAATCCAGTGTGATTTATAACCTCTGAAAACCTGTTGGAGGGTCAACTATGAGCTTGTTTTGACTCCATGACATATAACGACAGCTAACATACAGCTATGCTTTCTAGTCGTCTTTTGGGGAGGGAAGAAATAGCACTGGAAGAATATAACTCTCAGGAACTGGATTGTAATAGGAGCAAAGAGAGTTATGCATCTAGTTTTAGACTATTCCTCTAGGTACCAGGAGGAATTCCCTAACATTTATACACACAGGGCCCTTGTGGCAGAAAAACCTTTGGTGAGGAAAAGCATGAACTCATGCCTTCTTCGTACTTGATATGAACTTTATTTCCTTAGGCCAAGAGCTTCTGGCATTCCCCAAATCACCTCAGCTGAGAACAATACATCAAGTAACTTAGGGTTTCTAGAGACGACATTACAAAGGTGCTTGTGAAAAGCTCTTAAACTACATACCATATGGAAGTATCCATCATTCTGTAAATGTTTCATGTTTGAAGCATCAAAGAAAGGCATCACTGGCTGTTATTACAGTGACTTGTGGGTTTTGGTAGAGTTTTATATCCCTTTAATTTTTATATATTTCTATTCTTCTAAGTTGTTGTCTACTATTATCCTTTACTTCCAGTGCCCTCTTGGAAAGAGCTCAAGTATTTATGAACATCTTGTGATCACACTGGTTGCTTTAGGAGAAAATACAAATAATTGCCAAAGATGGTCTTCTCTACTGCCTTTCAAATTCCTCATCTACATATTTGCTTTTCACATTGGTTCTGCTCTAAGAATGAATTTTTGTGAAAGTGTGAGTTGTGCTTTGTTTTGTTTTGTTTTTTTCCGCCTCGGCTAAAAAAAATCCCTTTTCCTCACTGTTTTGTAGTAACGGCTCTTTGACGTCAGTGTAGGCAACACTGATCATTAATTTGTTTTGCCTTGTGCTTTTATCTCCCTTAGTTACAGTATTAGAAACAGTTTTGACATCTGAGAGGACAAATTCCACCTCTTCCCTAATGCTTTCTTATTTTTCTTCTTCAGAATTATTTAGCTATTTCTTAGTTATTTGTTCTTCTACACAATTATAATGGGGAGCTCTGGTTAGAAGTGGTAAGAAGTCACACTCCAATCCCAAAGACATGCAGTTCCAATCCACCAGCTGCTCTGTGGGAAATGAATAGGCAATCTCCTGTGATGCAATTTACTGCCTCTGAAAACCCATTGGAAGGTCAGCTATGAGTTCGTTCCTACTCAATAGATCACAACAAAAACAACATACAACGTTAAACTTTCTATCAAACAATAAAAACAAAAACATTTCTGGAATTTTAACTAGATTTACATTGAATTTATAGATTGATCTGGGAAATGATGATGTCTTTACAGTCTCCACAGTTTATGAAATGTTACATTTCTCCATTTATTTGGGTGTTTTGAATATTTTTAGTAAAGTTTTACAATTTTCCTGAGAGAGAGAGAGAGAGAGAGAGAGAGAGAGAGAGAGAGAGATAAACATGAAATACTAACATAGAAGTAATTCTAAACTGATTCTAAACTGAGGATTTGACCAGTGAAATAGGTAACTTGTAACTTGGTAAATTACCAACTTAGTATAAAGTGACAGTCATATTTTTAAAAAATGATTGGAAAAACAATATTTTTTCTTTTGTAAATTTTCACCCAAATCATGATTACAAAAATGTTCTATGAAACTTGTGGTATCTCACAAACAATCTGCCAACCATTTAGTTATAATCTTTCCTACCTGTTTTAGCTTTACAGGCTTTTTTTCAGGCCCTTGACCACCCAGACCCTTCACAGGATTATAGTTATGTAGCAGTGGTAACCACGACCATCAGTCCACTAAACTGTTCTTTTTATTTTTTAAAAAAATGGTTACACAAAATAACATGTGAATGACATTTAAACACCAAAGTAAACGCGGAGAATGAGACTCGCAGATGTCAGACCTTTGTGAAAACAGGAGGAAAATACGCAGAAGTGGTTCCATCAGGCCGGCAGAGATATGAAGTTGGGCTGTGAACCTGAAAAAGCAGAGACACATGGATCAAATTCTAAATATACCAATTGCTGAAAAGACGAGTGAAAAAGCCTTTCATTGTTAAGATTCTCCACTCGAATGGAACCAGTGAATGAAAGTATTGCTCTACATCATTTCGCTGGTCTACTCTTACAGTACAGACATTGTTCTACTTCCTAATTTCACATCTGTTATTCTTCTCTATTCCAAAGGATATTCAAGGTAAAAGTTCCCTGAGTCTTCAGGGACCCATGAGCTTTTAAATGCTCTTACCAAATGGATTTCTGTGTGTGGGTCTTCCACAGAGAATTTTTTTTTTTTAATTCTCATTGACATTATATTTTCTTTTCATATGCAGTCTGGATTCATTGCATATAAACTGTAAGTTATTGACTATGGAGGGTAAAGTAAATGAACTGACATCTATTTACCTTAATTTTGACTTGCAGCCTTTTTTTGATAATAGGGAACAAGTGGAAAGGCATACTATTTTTATTATTTGGCTGATGGTCCAAAAAGAGTGTTGAGATATTTGAGTTGCAATCATCTTTGGGGAAATAGTAGTTCAAACTAGTAAATGGGAAACATTTGAGCTCAATCACTTAGTTTCAAATAATATGGATTTATTAGCTTTCCTATAAGTGATTGTTCTTATCCCAAGATTATAATAATCTGATTTTATGAGTCTAAGTATGCCACACATAAGGTAGAGGCTGTTGAGTTCTCATCTTCCATGAAGGAAATATAGGTTCTTTGGATTCACAGCTAATGCAACATATGTGCAACTAACACCTGCCTTTCAGCAGAAGTTTGTCTGTTGCTATAATGCTAAAGTGTGCCTGACCAAGTCATATTTTCAGTTGCTTTACATGCATCTGAAAGTTGGACAATGAATAAGGAAGGAACTGTGGTGTTGGCAAAAAATACTGAATCTATATCTTGGATGGCCAAAAGAACAAACAAATCTGTCTTGGAGGAAGTGCAGCAGAGGGCTTTTCAGGGCCAAAGGTGGTAAAACTTTGTCTCATATACTTTGAGCATATAGTCAGGAAGCACCAGTCCATAGAAAAGGATATCATGCTGTGAAAACTGGAGGGACAGTGAAAAAGAGAAAGATCTTCAAAGATTGATTAACATAGTGTGGAGTTAAGGGTTTATAAAAAATTTCTAGCCATTGCTTGATTTTGCCATGTGGATAGGCAGATATATGTTAGCAGTTTGTGTTAGCCCAGGAATAGATGGTATACCAATTGACATATTCCAGCTAAAAGATGCTGCTCTGGACGTGCTCACCAAGTTGTGCCAAGAAATCTGGAGAACAACCACTTGGCCAACTGACTGGAAGAGATCTGTATTTGTTCCAATCCCAAAGAAGGATGACCCAAAAGAGTGTGGAAACGATAGAACAATATCATTGATTTCACATGCAAGCAAGATTCTACTGATGATTATCCAAACATGACTGGAACAGCACATCAGCAGAGAACTGCCAGAAGTCCAGGCTGCGTTTAGAAGGGGTCGTGGTACTAGGGATATTGTAGCTGATGTTGGATGGATCTTAGCTGAAAGCAGGGAATACCAGAGGAATGTATATCTGTGTTTCACTGATTATGCAAAGGCGTTTGACTGTGTGGATCATAATAAACTGTGGCTGGCTGACTCTGAGAAGAATGGGAATCCCAGAACACTTGATCGTGTTAATGAGAAACCTATACTTGGACCAGGAGGCAGTAGTCAGAACAGAGCAAGGAAACATTGCATGGTTCAAAATTGGGAAGGGTGTACATGAGGGATGTGTCCTGTCTCCATACCTTTTCAACTGTATGCAGAATAGATTATCCAGGAGGCTGGGCTCTATGAGGAGAAATGTGGGGTCCAGATTGGTGGAAGATCTACCAACAATCTGCGTTATGCAGATGACACAACCCTGCTTGCTGAAACTGAAGAGGACCTGAAGCACCTGCTGCAGAGGGTCAAGGACTGAAGCCTCCAATATGGATTGAAGTTCAATGTCAAGAAGACAAAGATTCTGACCACTGGGCCAGTTGGCAGAATCAGGATGGATGGTGAAGAGATTGAGATTGTTCACAGCTTTAGTTTGTTTGGCTCCATAGTCAATACTCTTGTCACCAGTAGCCAGGAAATTAAAAGACATATTGCCATGGGAAAGTCTGGTGTTAGGGACCTCTCCAAAGTACTGAAGAGCAATGGTGTCTCTCTGGAGACTAAGGTGCGTCTGATACAGGCCATGGGCTTTGCACTCACTTGTTATGCAACAGAGAGTTGGCAATGACCAAGGAGGATAGAAGCAGAATTGATGCCTTTGAGCTGTGGTGCTGGAGAAGAGTATTGAGAGTATCATGGACTGCTAGGAAAACAAACAGATTCATCCTGGAAAGGGTTAAACCAGGTATCTCCTTGGAGGCAAGGATTCTGAGGCTCTGTCTAACATACTTTGGACATGTTGTAAGGAGGGACCGGTCCTTGGAGAGGGACATCATGCTTGGTAGGGTGGAGGGACGGCGCAGGAGGGGAAGGCTCTCTATGAGGTGGATTGATTCAGTGACTGGGATAATCGGGATGGGAGTGTTAGAGACAGTGCGATTGGTACAGGACAGAGCAGAGTTTAGGGCTGTTGTACATAGATAGGGTCACTCTGAGTCGCAAGCGACTCGATGGCACATAACAACAATAACAACATCCACAATGAGACTGAGTAATCTCACCAATCTACAAGGATATTGGCTAGTTGCATCAATACACAAGGAAGGGGATTGTCTAGTCTCAACAATAAACTGGGCAGATTCAGCAGCACAATTAGAACAAACCTCACTGCTAGCAAAGAAGAGAAATCAGGAGAATGTGATAGCCATAGCAGAGAACCAGAGATCTGAAATGAGACAGAGTGGACCTTGGGATTGCTGCCCCCCCCCCCATAGGCAGAACCAGAGTTAAGAGCCTTTGCCCAGGTTTGTCACAAAACTTGAGACTAGAGTGGGGGAGAGCCAATATTAACAGGATTGAGAACTTTGTAACACTAGACTAAAGCCGCGAGGCTTTTCATAAACTGTCCCGACTATATTCTGCTACCAACCTGCATTACAATCTTTTGACTACCCTAATATGGTTCTCTGTGGTCTGTGAGCTACTTCATCAGATTTTGAACCCAGTAAAGCAGTAAGATTGGTACTGAGAAGAGTAAAAAGTGGTACAAGAGAGTGGGGGATGATATGTCTGACCTCATGGGAGTTGGTTTTGTGTTACTGATTCTGTTAACAGTAACAATTCCCTCTTGTGACGTCAGTAAAGATCAGATATGGCTGTCTCCACATGGCACTTTGTCTTTTTCAATATAGTGACTGTAACAATAGGCTACATTGTGAGGATGGCACAGGTTAAGGCAAATAATGTATTGTTCATAGGGTCACTATTAGTCTTAATTGACTCAAAAGCAACTAACAACCACATGATACTGTACAGGTTTCAGCAGAGCTTCTACATTAAGATGGACTAGAGAGACAAGTGTGACCATAAATTTCCAAAAATCACCTAATAAAAATTTGATACATCCCAACAGTCTGAGGTCTGATCTTCATTTGACCATATTGGTGGCATAGGACTAGGGAGAGTTTCATTCCATTGGTCACCAAAAGGGCAGCTATGAACAACAAAATATTATTTTGCTGTTTTGATAGGATGTCATTAAGAATGTTGGCCAAGTTATAGATATGTTATTATGATACTGGACCTATATGTTATCCCTGTAAGATATTTTTATTGGATTTTGAGTAAGGCGATTTGAATCCATTTTGCTATTTAAGTCCAAACAGACTGTAAAAGAACAAGAGCTGCATGGGGAGTGCCATATCTCACCTTTATCAACTTCACAAAGGGAAACTGTCCCCATCCACAGCATCAATAACAAGAAATCAATTCCTATGATGTCAAACATGTCATCCACACCCCTGTGCCTCTTTCTACTCATCTCAACATCAATCTTACTGCTTTGCTGGATTCATAGTCCAATATAATAGATCACAGATCATACAGAACCATACTGGGGAAGTAAAAATGTTATAATTCAGATAAATAACAGAGTACAGCCAAGACAGCTCCTAAAATGTGCACTCAGGCACCTCAGCCTCAAGTCTCATGGCTCTAAGTGTTTCAAGTTTTCAGTTCTACCAATATTGGCATTTCCCCAACCAATGATTGTCCAACAATATTCTCTGTCCTGCCAATATTGGCTTCCCTCCCACATCCAAGATATCATCTCACATATCTATCTCATGTCAGGTCTCTAGTTTGGCCATGGCTGCTGCTGCCACATAAATCATGTCCTATATTTTTCTGCTTCCTCTTTACTGGGTTGGCGAAGGTCTTTTTATTCTTCTCAGGAGTTGGGGGAGGATTCTGATCTTTGTGGCTAGAGCTATTCAATTTATTAAAGAGATTAGCCAATCTTCTTGTAGATTGTTGAGACTGGTCACTCCCTTTGTGGAATGGCAGATAACCAATCCCCATGGGGGATTGTAGTCCTTCTCATCTACATGGGTCAGTCATCCATATCAAATAACGCTAGAAGAGTCAAATTTGAAGATAAACTCCATATAGATCAAAATCAAATCCACCTCCATAGGGTTCTGAGCTTGTAAATCTTTACAAGAGGTGTCTATCTTCCTCCCATGGTATGGGCTGGTGGATCCAAACCCCTTATTATGATTAACATCACAGCATAGAAGACACTAGGCCATCAAAATTCTTTATTCATGTCCAAAGAACACAGGTAAATGCTTTTGCAGCATTTATTCTGTGCTAGGCATTATTTTAAGTTATATGAAATACCTAATTGAGTCCTGGTAACAATCCTGTGAGACAGGTGGTATTGCTATCTTTATTTTAAAGCTGAAGAAAAAGTGGGTAAAGAGAGGACCCACAGTAAAGAATTGGTAGAGCTAAAGTTCAAGCCCAGGCCATGTTGCTCTGTACCTACCACAGTACCTA